TATGCTGACTCTCTGTAAACCGCTTAGAGAGGGCTGAAAGCCCTATGAAGCGGTATATAAGTCTACTGCTATTGCTATTGCTATTTTTCATAAATATCTTTTTTTTTCTTCCAGATAATATCAATGTAAAAGTTACCTCTTAGCCAAGAGAAGAAGGGATATAATTTTTCTAATATTCAGGGGGGGGGCTGGAAAACGTATGATAATGAGCAGTGTTTAAAATAATTCATCTTGCCTTGTTTCCCTATTCTAGGATGATAGTTACATGGACCTCGTGCAAGAGGCTCAGGATCTTCCAAATAACTATATCACATCAGGATTACCTCAGCCAGCAATATCCAAGGAGATTCTTCCCAAAATGGCATCCAAGAGTCCTGAAAGCAGGACATACAACTTCTGTACAAAAAAGACAGAAGAAGAAATATCACCCCAGTGTACTGAAGATGCTGTTGTGATAATGGACAAAGCAAATAACATTCAAAGAAGCTTGTTGCCCACTTCTTCTTTATCCCCAATCAGAAACCTGTCTAAACCCTGCAAGGAAATATCTAGGGTCTCAAAATGTTTCTCCATCAGCGCGTTAAGAAGTTCCATAAGTAGAAAATCGCTAAAAGAAATCCAGCAGGAGGACTCAAACCCAATAGTCCAAATTCCTGTAAGTATTTTTTAAAAATCTTGTTGGAATAAAAAGGATATTTAAGCTTTTGCATCTTTGCATCTGTTAATAACATTAGTATTTTAGAAAGTGTTGCCATGGGATAAAGCAAAGATCAATCATATGGAAGAGGAGGAAAGCTGCCAGATTGATCCATGATACAAAGTTTAATTAATTATATATTCTTGTTTTTTTAAAAAGACAAGATACATTCATGGCAAAATAGGACTACTAATTAGGATCAAGAATAGTTAGCAATATAAGTACATAATCTCCTGGGCACACTAAATCTGGCTGGAGGATAAATGTAAGTAAGTAGACCATGGATAGAAAATATGTTTTTAATAGCAAAGAGAGGCAAATATCAAAACTTTTTTTTAATGAAAATCAAACTTAAAACTTATTTATCTGCCATGGTTTGTCTTTATGCCAGGATTTGTCAGAGGCTGACAAAGTTTTGTTTGGGATAATGAAACATTTTCTGCAAAAACAACTCATTTCCAATCTGCTCAATTGTAATTTGGCATTTCTTAAATTAATGAGTGAAAGAAGAGGGTAGAAAAATTAATGAATTCTTATTAACCAGTTTTAAATAATTTACTGAAAGTTTCTAACAGCTGGAGGAAAAGAAATTTCTTGGAACAATTGCAGACACTGAAAAATTTTGTTCCATTTTTATGATAAAAGATGTTTTCACACTTGTATCCTGTTTATAGATTTCCTCTGGCTATTAGGTTAATATAATATAAATAATGGGAAAGACTGCACTTAGTGTGATGTAGGACATTTCTCCTCATATACCCGATCTATTTCATTTATTTTTCTTTTTAATTGAAATGCTTAGAGATCAACATTTACCTTTAGCCCTAATCTAAAATCCTGTGGAACTGGGATATCAGGTCAGTAATTCCATGCCATAGTAATGTTCCCTTGGAAGAGATTTTACAAAGCTATTTGCTCTCTGAATTCCACATAAGAAGAATTTTTTCCCAATTGTTAGAATAGTAGTAGGCATGGAATTTGACAGGTTGATTGCCTCTCTGAAAAAGCAAATTTCGTTTTTGTTTTTGTAGCACTTGGGGCTGTCTGTCCTGCAAGCATGATTGCGTGTTTTTCAGCTCAGCCAGTAGAGATTGGAAATAAGTGACTGTCTGCTACAATGCAAATCTAGCAATCGCACGCATTAAAAAACAGGCAGGTTAATTCAACCGTTGGTTCATACCATTTTTTTCCCCCATGAGGCTTTCAGGGCTGAATAGCATTTTCCATGCAACTTCTGCTCATTAATAATCTATACAAAGGGGTGAGCAAAATACAGCTCCATAGATGGTTGTCCTTTATGTGAAATGTTTACATGTTTGTTTGAATGTTTTCTCTGTTGAGCAAAAGAAAGAGGAAAGACCGGAAGAAGTGTGCCAAACACGCCCCTTTCACAGCAGCTTTCACAAGCCTTTCACAAGTATGTATGGACAGCTGTTTAGACTTCTCAAGTAGAGAAAGCACTTAACTGGCATGGATAATCCCCAAGGTCTGGTTGAGTTTCAGCACTTTTGTCCTGATTTTTTAAGTTGGTATTTAATTTCTTTTCCAATCGCTATCAAACAGGATTTCTTTGGGGGGGGTGGGGAAGAGAGAGAAGTAAGTTTCATTATCAAGCAACGGTTCAAACGTCTACACAGAGTAAAAGACAAGGTTATTGTAATTTTAAAAGCAAACTGCTGAAGTCAGTACATTACCAAGTCAGTATAAAGGAAAGGAACATTGACAGAACTTCAATAGTAATCTGTGGATGAAGATCATTCCTCTCTGCACCAGAACATTGTTGCAGCCATCCCCCTCCCTCCCCCTCAAATAGAAAACAAAGTGATTGAAGGATAACAGAAAATGCCATACTCAAAATCCCCAAGCTGTTTGGGTGGGGGATTGTGTCAGAGATGGGATTCACTTACCTTCCCTACCAATTTGCAAATGTGAGCGCTCGCACGCACCTAGTCTGCACATGTGCACCATCTTCTGCGCATGCGCAGTGCTCAAAGCCTCCTGCAGCCACCGCTATCAGTTCGCCTGAACCAGAGAGAACTGGCTGAATACCACCTCTGGATTGTATTCATGTCCATCAATTTAATTCTTATTCTCCTGGTTTTATTACCCACCATATACCAGCCAAAACAGTTGATACAATCCTTGTTTGTATAAACATAGAATCAAAATCATGTGAAGTATTAGTGCCACTTTATATAAATCCTTAGAAAGGCCACACCTGGAATACTGCATCTGGTTTTCGTCACTGCATTACAAGAAATATGTTGAGACTTTGGAAAGCATGCACTTTGGAAAGAACAACTAAGCTGATTAAGCGCTTGGAAACAAAAGCATATGAAGAACAGTTGCAGGAATTGGGTTTGGCCAATCTAGAAAAAAGAAGGACTAGGGGTGACACGATAGCAGTCATGAATACTGCCACAAAGAAGAGGGGGTCAACTTATTTTCCAAAGCACCAGAAGGCAAGAAAAGAAACAATGGATGGAAACTAAGCAAGGAGAGAAGCAAACTGAAATTAAAGAGAAATTTTCTAACACTGAGGACAATTAACCAGTGGAACAGCTTGCCTTCAGAAGTTGTAGGTGCTTCATCACTGGAGGTTTTCAAGAAGAGACTGGACAGTCACTTGTTTGAAATGGTATAGGGTCTCCTGTTTGAGCAGGGAGGTCGGACTAGAAAACCTCCAAGTTCCCTTCCAGCTCTATTCTGATTCATTGATATAGTCTTACAGCTGCCACGAACAACTTAGAGTAATTCAGTATTTTACATTTTTCTTATCTGATATCTAGATTTCCTTTTCTCAAGTGATAGGTTAATGACTCTGCGATGGCCAGGAACTTTACAGCTTATGATAATACAAACAATCAGATTTTTATGATATTTTCCTGTCTAGAACATAACAGTATCATTACAATAGCTCCTGGCTTTCCTGGTCCATTTCTATCTGGCTATATGTACATTCCATCCATATCTTTGGTGCCGCGAAATCAAGGCACTGAAGTTTTGATTCTATAAGCAACTAATTGTTCAGATAGGGGCAATTGTGGAACTAGAATGTCCTCTAGTACTTTTTTTGAAGCAATCAGTATCCAAGGAAAGCTCCAATGAAGCAGTTGACTCTTGGTTAGGAATCTCTTTTGAGAAAGATGGACTGAACCTCTCCAAATATATCTTGATCTGTTCAAGTTTCAAATGATTACAATGGATTGAATCAAAGTAGTTTGAAAGCCACATATTTTAAGCCAAAACAAACTTGTCTTTTTAACATGAATGGGTTTTGAGACCTCAAAACCCAGTAATGAACCTATTAGTAATTATTAGTATATTAACATTCTTTTTTTAAAAAAGATGGGAAAAAATAGAATTCTTTAATTCATAAAAGTTCCTGCTTGCCTGTTGGAGGATTGACCAAACAGTTGCAGTTTACAAGCATTATTATATCTCCTCTACTATTTCCCTCCTCTTTTAGTACTAGAGGAAAGTATGAACAGTATGTATGGGGAGGGAGGGAGGGAGGAGAGAGAGAGAGAGATTGATTTCCATCATTGGCTTCTGCATCAAAACTCATATGCACGAAGACCTTCAAAAGAAAAAAACTCCTTCCTAACCCTCTCCTGCATTATGACTGGCAAAAATGTTCAAACAACTCTTGCTTGCTCACTACTTAGTAAAATTTAAGGACTTGCATACTTGCAATGTTTTATTCATGTTTTAATAGAGTCCTCTATTATTAAGTTCAAATATTTTTAATTAAGAAAGAAGTGCAGTCCTCTGGGTAATATTGCAACCAAGTAGATAGCTGGATAATTAAACTTTCCTGCACATGCAACTACATTTAAAGAAATCTGAATAAATCATTTGAACATGGGAGAATGCAAATGTCATTATGTGCATCTCTAAACTGGAAAAAATATCTTTGATAACAGGTTTTGTCTATGAGTTGAATGTTTAAGAGCTTAATAAAATGTTTCTTATCATAATAAAAGAGAGAGAAGATAAGCTTTTAATTGTCAGCTAAAACATTGCATTCAGAAGAATCATGAATGCTACATGGAATTATATTTTGCATTGAATGCCTCATTAAGAAATTTAAAATGATTTCAGTTTAACTATTCTTTTAGTTGCCAATTTCTATTTGGCTGCTACAAACAATGCAAATATTAACCAGAAAAATAATTTTTAAAAAATGATCAGAAAACTTGTTGCTAGGTACCATTTCTAACAAATTGTCCATTTCAGAAATTGAAGACATTTCCTTAAAAGTATTATTAGATAACAGTTCAAATCTTGGGTGGGGCTATTCTATGCTTCTGGAAAAGAAGTTGCTTTGTTTATTCTAGCTAAGGCCTCCGCATTCCATTTCCCTGTTCACATTTTCTCTGTATACTTTCATGCAACCATTAAAAATGTTAAAAGATCTGCCCAAATTCCGTCCTCCAAAACACATACATCGCCTTGAGCTGGTTTAAAGTTATTTGAATCCTAGTGATGTATGGTATCTACATCACCCTGCCATTTTTACTTGGTATTATTTATGTTATCTCACAACATAAAAATAAAAAAAATGGGTTTCATAAGAGGGCTTTCAAAGCTATCATTCATGGTGTATCAAGGTAACTTTTAAGACTGAACCAAGAAGCAACCTTTATATTTCCAGTGTGGTTTTTTTTTAAAAAAAAAAATCACTGTCAAATGGAATTTTGCGGATATAACCATATAATTTTCTTAGCAATACTAAAAAATGTTTTTATAGTTTCCCAAGGTAGCCAACAGCCCCAAAAATACCTAATTATCACCCATCCTAGTAGTAACCAAGTCTTAAAGATATAACAGAATAGAATAACAGAACAACAGAGTTGGAAAGGACCCTGGAAGCTTTCAAATCCAATCCCATGCTTACACAGGAAACCCTATACCATTTGAGACAAATGATTGTCCAGTTGCTTCTTTAAAATTTC